GGCGCTGAACCACTAAGTGGGAGGTTTTGGTTCGCTCTTCCACTCTGGTTCTTACGTTGTTACTGTCGAGGTGTGAGCAGCCAGACAGTCTCAAACTCTCATACTTCCTTTGATTGACATACCAAAAGGATTCAGCAGCTGAACGGTTTTCCTTGTTTAACCCGTCTGCATTGCATAAAGGTGAATATGGGAACCCATAAACGGTCCCCGCGTGCCCATACAGGAAACACGGCAATGTCTAGCACACTTTTATCTGAAAAAGTCGCTGGATTTATGGCGTTCGAATGGTCCACTGGTTCGACAGCTTGCAGCAATCCCTGAATAGATTACTCACTGTCCGTTAGAAGATTGCAATGTAAATGCTGTCTTTGTTCCACGTTCGTTTACTATCACTTCGGAGAGTATTATTTCGCAAATGCAGCTGATATACTGACCCCCTACATTAGTGCACCCTTCTTGACTGGATCGTACTTGGATTAGCCGGTAATACAGTATGCACACAGAACCGCATGTTCTAGCCTTCCATGACCGAATTACCCATTAGAAATGATAGACCAAAGTATAGGTTGAACCAACACCCGAGGAGTCTATATTTATCTATTTTCCAATAGGCGCATTTGTTCTCGTTGTTGTACGAATAGATATTCGTGGTAGCTCATTATGTTTAGTGGGTCCTGTTCAGATTTAGCTAAATGAAGTGCACACCACTCCCCAATGACTTAGATTTGCGAGTGCTGACAGCCATTACATTGGTTTACCATGTTGAGCTTGCGTGTGTGATTCACGGATATCCAGGCTTGTTGAATATCCAGGACATTCACTCTAGACGAGTTGGAAATTTCCATCCCTCTCTCACGAGACCTGTTAAGAGACACGCAGAGACTGATGAAATTTTGCAACTGTAGTGCATCCAACATGCGATACTGAACATATAGGTCTAAGCTCTCGAAGGTGTTTCATCGGGGGATCAGTGTACTGTATATACCATTGTGAGGCCCATTTTCAACGATTGCATCTGTGGCTTGAGACTGGGGACAGTCAGTTACATTATTGTTTGATTTTATTCATTGGTCCTAAACATATCTGAGCACGCGTTGCAGCACAGGGAATGTAAGTCAATCACTGCTCTGCTCTCACCGTCTTATTCGTCTAAACCTAACCAACGCGAAAAGACATGTTGATGCATCCAAAATGGCTCTTTGTGGGAGTTTGCTAAGTCCACTCCCAACCTGTCTATTTTTATATTATTGAGTAGGATTAAACTCTTTATCCTCACTCCGCAGATATGAAACATGTTGGCATATCAGAAGGCCACCTGGAAACTGACCTCACATTGGTGGGTACCAGTTGGGGCGAGATGGACAAAGTGGTTAGAGCACAAATTCACTGACCGGAAGGTCCGTGATTTAAACCTGACCTCTGCTTCTCGACTTCCCCTGTCTAGGCTTGGGCGACATGGCAGTATGCTAACCCTCGTGCTTCCTTCGGGTGGCATGGCAGATAGGCACCGAAAGGGGACTACAGCTGAGGGTTTTATATTCGGTGGGTACCAGTTGCTCAGTCTTTCCAGTGTGCGTGTAAGTCCGGTTATTTCACCCCTGATCGTCACCCATGGCGATCGGAACGGTGAACAGTCAAACGTTGTCCTCAACGTGGTGTTATTTCCTATTCAACCGGCAGTAAGTACGTTGCCATGTTATAGGACCGAAGAAATTACTGGGAAGAGCGCCTCTAACACGTACTGTATTTATAGAGTTTTCTGATATAATATGCCTAAATGACACAGAATTGTCTTTAGATTCTGTTTGACATGTTGCATCACTATACAGAAAAGTATTTTGATTACCTGAAAATCAGGCGGTTCGTCTATATTTTTTCGTGCCTTAGGCGAACGCTGTGATTTCTATTGTTGTGAACTAGCCAGAGCAATTGTTCAAACACGAGTGATGTGCATGCAAATTCAACAAACATATGCGAATGTCCGTTACTTTTTAATTGACCTTCGGGCGTATGTCCGCGAAACATTGGAAGAATGGACACGCTTCACTTAAGGACACTAGTTCCTCGATGAGTTTTTGGCTTTTGATGGATCTAAATGTATCTGTAGTTTTTTTACTGCACGCAATTTGAAGATAACATTAGTGGAGGAATCTATCAGATGTCCTGCTTCATAGGCTTATGTGTCCGCCGGCTTGTAGGTTATGCATATTGGTCTGGCAAACTAAGTAAACTAACCAGGACTGAAACAGCGCCGTAGCATATGCATGTGTTTGCAGATAATTCTTTTTCCTTAGTTAGGTCCATATGTTAACTTACAAAATCATTATTCCATGAGGTAAGTAACCCGGGCTGTACCGTTAAATGTTTTCCCTACGTACCGGTGGCCGAAAACCCCTTCTGTCAGTCTCCCCCCGGCTGTTCCGTCCAGATGGGAATCGCTGTCCATCGGCACTTGAAACTAGTTAAATAATGGGTTCCCCAAATGCAGTTCCAGATGTGAGTTAACCAAAGCCTCGTTTTTTGCTCTTTTTTGGTTTGGTGGCTTCTGTGGTGCGAAATTTCATCAGTGATCTATCCCTTATAGTACGTCCGCCTAAAAATACGTGTAGTTATTTTTATAAGGTGCGTTGTCTTCCCAGTGCGTTTAGCCGGCACCCTATGCAATAAGCTTGGTTCACACGCATGTACTGCCAGGTTCATGCTAGGTGACCAGTTCGGTCATGACCAGATTCAACTGGAGTAATGTGTGTCTGATTACGTTTCATTTTCTGTCAATCTTTCTGGTATAGGTTATTCGTTGTTTTCGTTTGGTGAAACTCCGCATTTTAACCACATGTTGATCTTCCCACAAATCCCACCCTCGTTTATCCGTAGGTTCGACACATGCGTTCAGTTCAACTGAAAAAGAAAACGTTCAACCGAAGACTTGCCCATATTAGGTCAAATCTGTTCAATAATCCCCCCTTCCAAAACCCTACGTGCACAAAGGCCCACAAATGCCATGCTAATAGTCATCGACGAAATACTTCAAAAATTTCTACGGACCAACACGTGTTCTTTGAATCCACATCGCAAAGTTCTTTGGAACCTGATGCACTGAGCAAATGGAAATTGACCGACCTGCCCGATAGTAACCCTCCCATTGGTTCTTCCCTTAGTCATGTGGACCACTCAGTCATCAGTTTGTGTTCTGTTTCCACTAGTTCCCGCTCCTCAAGCTTGGACAATGTGATCAACGAAGAAAGAGACCGTTCTGAGGAGAAAACAACACTGCGTTCACACGCACCTTCCAAATCCAAGGTGATGTCTGAACGAACTGACTCTGACACCTCCTCTTTCCCCACTTCAGCATCTGTGATATCAAGCTGCCACTCGTTCACACCAGCCATGAAAATCGTGCATACATCTGCTGTATGCCATCACCCTACACAGCTTTCTTCGAATGAGCCCAATATGGACAAGCTCGATCGCTCAGATCATTCTGGTTTAGGCAGTGGTTCCCCAAACGCTTCTGTCCACCGAACAGATCAGCGATTGCGTTCTTTCATGTTTCGTCTCGTTGAGCGCGTGCCTTAATCTTGTGTTTTTGAACATTGTATGACGTTATTTCTCATGTTTTGCTCACGGATTATGTTCACTTATGCTCCTACTAGTTCCATTTTTTTAACTAATTTGTTTTTCTATTCATTACATCTAGCTATACAGTTTCATCCTTTGTTTTCAATCCACAATTCATCAGCTTGCTGAGTAAATTATGTTTGATGTTGGGGAAATAATATGGTAATTTTTCACCCTATGTTATGAAGCCCCGCAGACCGCAATCCCCCTCCTGGGGAATTCTTACACAGATTTTGGCATCGGCCTGGTATCCGTCGCATCTTAGGTGCTCTCTGGCATTATTTTGCGCAGGTCGATGGATTATTGAGAAAGACAAATTCATGAGACTCAAGCTAGGTTTTGCCCCGGTGCGGTCCATACTGCCTTGTGGATCAGAAATGTGGCCTCTGCGCAAAGAGGACACATGAAAATTGTCTGTTTGACCATCAGTATATCCAAGGCATTGGTCGGGTCTGGTTGGAACATGGGATTAGCAGTGCTGAGGTTTTAAGAACGAACTATTCTGTGATAGATGAATTATTCACTCCTCATAGGTTACGCTGGTTGGGACATGTACTCCACATGCCAGAAGGCTATCTACCTCGCAGAGCTCTTTACGCCCAGTCCTGTACTGAGTGGAAGCGACCACAAGGTGGACGGCATGTGACCTGACACTGAAAACACTAAACAGTAAATTGAATCGGGTCGACAACTGCAGCCTCCCTGGATGCAGACTTCTGTCCTCAGCCTACCAACGGTTAGTGAAACTGGTAAAAATCGCCCAATGGCGCAGTCAGTGACGCTGGTGCGCCAAAGCTATCGCCGTCAATTCGTAGGTACCCAGTTCCTGAACATGTCATCGCCTCCTTCCCGGTAATCGAACCTGTGGCACATTGTTTATAGCTAAATTGATTGGTTGATTGATTGATTGATTGACGGCCTTACCTATACCTGAAGGATGTTAAGTGGTGCTACAATAGTTGGTGGGGTCAAACGATTGTTGTCTTTTCGGGCCAGCCCATTGACGTGATAAATAAATTCAGTTACTTGAATACTTATACGTTCGAATGTATCGGGTGAACGACAGTACCATCCATATTGCTTAGCGAATCAGAAACATGAACTTTTTGTGCAGAAAATATTGGAAAATTTTCAGTGTGCGGCCATTGATGTCACCGAGGTATTGGCCAGGTCTTTTTGGATAGTCAGTTTAGTACTGCTCAGTGGTTAGGATGGGAATTTACTGACCAGAAGGTCCGTGGTTCGAACCCGACCTCTGCCTCTCGACTTCCCCTGTCTAGACTTTGGCAGCCTGGTAGTATCCCAGCCCTCCTGCTTCTGCCAAGTGGCATGGTAGCTAGCCATTGAAAGCGTGTTACAGCTGAACGATTATCGTGTTATTAATGCTGTATAATCCTTACGGCTTTGAAAAGAACGAACTCTTCCGTGGTGGACGAGTTGGCGCAGCTTCTTAGTTTACAGTGGTTTGGGCATATACTTTGCATCCTAGAGTGTCATCTGTTCCTCCCGCCAGTATCGTGGTAACGACGGAGAGATGTTGGAAATGACCTTACGGTTGCCAGCTGCCTTACAAGACGATAGTGCCACCTTGATTTTGGTGATGCGACCAGTTCAGGCTTGCAAAACCCTTTTCAACTCTTTGGGGAATGTGATCGAAGCTGCTGCAGTGTCTACCCGGGGTGTTGCGTGCTGATGCAGTGATCTTTAACCGCCGAGAGGGATATTCTTTCAGGCTGCCCCTCAGACACATTTGGTCAAAGACCGGGTGTACGGGCACCTTGTAAGCAAAGCGTTCAATGTTGGCAACTTTAACGAACTTTTGTGCGCAAGCTCATTTCACTCCCGCTACAGAATCTTCATGAATTCCTGAAACGATGAGAGGCTGGTACTCATCTGAGCTTCCCCACTGCATAGAATGGTAGAACCCAAGTATCATAGTGCTGTGACGCGTTCAGTTTTGTCATATCACATACATAAGTCAACCTCTGGAGAATAATCGCCAGTCCGACGAGCTCTGCATTGTAGGCGCTCAGTCAACAATGACCTCTAGATTTGTCTTCGTAAATAAAGATAATCCCGTCAGCACACGCTGGTTCTGCAGTTCCGATGTGTTGCCTTCATTGGACATCAGTGTATCACTCCATTGGTCGTTGAATCGCCTAGTCCATTTCGAAGTTGAGTAACACTGGTTATGAAAACTAACGCTGTCATTCCGCAGACCATGTCAAACTCAGTTCTCTTCGTCACCAGCTTGAACTCGAATAGTAAGCAACGACGCGATTTGTTATGAGTTTCCTTTATACTTTATTGTAAGTTTGTTATTCGAAACGGAAGTATTCCACTCACCGTTTCTTATCACAGTGGTCAACCGTCAGATCTCTACTTTTGTAGCACAAAGCTGTTTTTGAGACTTGTTTTTACCAGAGACAGCGCGAGTAGACAGAGAAACCAAGCAAGGTCATAAAAATCCAGGGCTTTCTTCACATTGGAAACCATGTCTGACTCGCATGAAATATGGTCGTTTCTGGCAGGCGAGTGGCTTCACGTCGAATTATTCTGAAATCAGGAGACTTTATAAGGCGGGCCTGTAATGGTGACTTTCGCTAGTCTGTGCCGTTGTTTGATCTAACCAAAGCAGTTCTTCGGAGCTTGTTTAGATGCCTTGAATACGAACACTTATCACCCATCAAGATCAACTGATTTCCACGGTGGTTCGAACAGTTGGCAATCTGTTGATCAGCGGCAGATGAAATTGTCAATTGGGTGTCGTTATGCTGTGAGAAATTGGATATCTCGTAGAAAGTTGGAATTCGATCGTCGCTTGCATGGTGGTATGGTCCGATTCTCTCGTGTTACCTGTTTCAGCTCACTGTCGGGACCGATAATCTACCATTCATCCAAACTGTATTAGGACTCAGTCGTTTAGAGTGCTAGGAACGCATAAAATCAATAGCCATGTGATTCAGCACGGTGGATTAGGTCTGTCACTGTTCTCAGATCGTTATGCTAGACCGAATTCGTCCAAGGTACGGAACAGCTTTTGGCCGACCCACACTAGCAACCAGTTACCTGCGATCACATAAAGACGCGATATTGACCACACTTTGCAGCTCATCCTAAAAGCTTTCTTTGACGGTAGAGTCCACTCGAGAATTGAGTGCGTAGGCAGCAGTAACATTCAAGACGACCCGTAGCATGTCTGGGTTCCGGGATATGGCTTCATTTTGGACATGGTCATTCAAAGCAGAGGCGACCCCGTGGAGACGATTCGACCACTGGACGGATGTAATAAAGTCAGTAGTAAGCATTGATTCCCGCCAGAGGGGTTCGTATGACGACTGATTTTGGTGATCTGGTCCCAGCCAATCGTCTGATATCCAGCCGGTAGTCGTGATGACCACACGTGGTGTATCACTGCGGCCTTGCGAATTCCAACCGCCGATCTGAACAGATCTCTTTTTGTGTTGAGATTCCCAGCTCGCCCATCGGTCAGCCCCGACACTGGGTTAGCGCAGCGTGCACTGCTTCGTGGGAACACTGCAGCACCACGTAAGTTGATTGACTTTGACGAAGACCTCGGGATCCTGCTCACCAATGTTTATTAACGCTAAACAAAAGTTGGCTCAGTCACACAGGCAGTGGCGCCCCAGCAGCAGGAGCCCACGTTCCGTCAGTACCCCATTTATGGCTGCCTAACTCAGTTAAACCGAACGGTAAAGTTGCGTTGCTACATCTACCATCTAGGAAAAATTAGACCTGATTACAGTGTATAGACGATACGTGATTCAAACAAAATCGGTAAATTGTAAGGTTACTGGGATTAAATTGAATGCGTGACTGACCAAATCAGATTGATAGGTTTTCTACGAAACTACTAATGGGGGACAGATCACTTGCTCATGACGGTGGGAGGCAATTATTTTGCAGTAAATCTGACAGTTTCTACGAATGCCAATAACCAGCCGTAGGTCCGATGTCGGCCTTCAATGCAAATGATTTCTTGGTGCTGGGTGAAGATACTGACTGTCTGGGTGTATTTGATTCACTGAATAGATAATTGGAATGTTTGGTCCAGAATTTCCAGCAATAGTTCAAATGCGGTGTTTTTACGATCATGTGTACTCTAAATCGATGCTGTTTAACTGTTGTTCTGGGTATTCCGAGGCTTTCGCTTCATAAAGTGCCGCGTGTGATCCTCCGTCGCTAGCTCATTCGTCCAGCTGTTTTTTTGAGACCGTTGTGTTTTAGTGGAAATCTTTTAGCTCACTGAGTAAATCACCCCTAGGTTTGCAAAAGGTTATGACCAAGCTTATGACATTTCAACACAAACAACAGGCGTCGGTTGAACCCCCGCCCCCCCCCCCCCCCCCCCCCGCGCAGCAC